TTAGGGGTCCGACTCCTCAATGGGGCCCCAACGTTCCCTATACGGTTGATATGTTCCTTCGATTCAGGACTGAGATCTGTTTTATTTAATGTACATTGGCGGTGCATACAGGGGTACCTCAGGTGAGGTTCAGGTAACGGGCGAGCCACTCGCAAAACATTTCTTTCGGTTTATGAGCTGCTGCCCGGTAAACGAGTTGTCATCGTCTCCTCGCTAACCAAGTCTTTGTGAACGCACACGTGACAAACTCTCGCCCACCCACACCTGTTTTGTCAATCGCTGCAAGCGGCCCGCAATTTCCTGTCTTTCGCAAGCTCGCGGTCAACTCGCCTCCTGAGACTCACGTTATTTCGAACCAATCGATGCGCACCATGCCACCTAAATGGCTAAGTATATACTCTGCAGTCAGGGCTTCGCAACAGCGGACACACTTTTTAACCAACGCGACTGGCTCTTGTATGCAGCGCTTGCAGCAGCTATTGTTATGCTACTTTAGCACAGTAAATCTGCTCCAGCTCATTCAATCTTCTATGACTTGTGATTTTTGGATCCTTCTGTTGTGGATACAGCCGCTGGCTTTCGATAATCAAAGCAAACCAAGAGTGTGGTGTTCGATTCAGGGAGGTTGGTAGGTCCTAGTTATGCATTTCGGCAATGGAACGAATTAACTTTATTTCCATTACTCTAACTGAGGAAATTCGTTTTACACAAAGAGCTCAGTGCCGGAACAGGTTAAACTCGTTAACTGAGGCTCCACTGTACTATTTCTGTAATGTACATTAGCGGTGCATAATATAGAATACAGGGGGACCTCAGGCGACGAGCAACTCCATCTACGCGCAGTTTAAGGTAAAGAACGAGCCACTCGCAGAAAATCTGTTTCGGTTTATGAGCTGCTACTCAGTAAATGAGTTGTCAGCGCATGTGTGCGTGTGTTCACGGCTGACTCATGTTCCCAGAGCAGTATCCTCGCTCACTCGCCCGCAGCCAATCAGTGAGGCGATGCAGTTTGATTGGCTACTTTGCGCAAGACGAGTGTTTCACACGAAATGTTCAATACCATAACGGAATAAACTTGTTAACCGAGGTTTCACTCCATACTATCCCACCCACCTGACGTCCTACGTTTCCTTTAATAAGAAGCCGGGTCCTGCAGCAGGGATTCTACCCATTAAATTAAGCAATTGCAATAGTGC